GGCAAGTTGAGTCTATTGATATTGAGAACTATTAATGAACAGTGATTCTTTATTTTGTTGTTTTGTTGATGGTAGTATTAGTGGAAGTAATGTGTGTGGGTGTGTGTTTGTCAGTCTATGAGTTTTGCTGTTATGAAATCATCTACTCTCTTTGTTTTTTTGTTACTAACTTTCTTGGATTAAAGTTTCTTTTCTTGTGCCTTCTATAGTGCTGTATTTGTGATTAGACTTTGTTTAAATTCGACTTTGTCACGAAATATCTTGTTTTCTCCATCTGTTGTGATAGACAATTCTGTTAGGTACAGTAGTCTGGGCTGGCATCTGTGGTCTCTTAGGGTATGCAAGAAATCAATCCACAGCCTTCTGACTTTTGGGGACTCTGATTTTCATATATCTGACTATATATATATACTTAACTTTTTTCCATTGTAGTTTTTTTAATAGTTTTTCCTCTTTCTGTGTGTTTAGTTTTAAATATTCATATTGAATAGTGATTTTCCTTTTTGATCCATTCTATTTGGTGTTCTACCACCTACTTTTACTTACACAGGCAGGTCAATCTTTAAGTTAGAGATTTTTTTCTGCTATGATTTTTTTTAATATGTGCTATGAGTTTTTGAGCTGGAATTTTTCTTTAATCTATTTCTATGATTCTTAGGTTTGCTCTTTTCATAGTCTCCCTGAATTTTTTTTTTTTAGTGCTAGAAAGTTTTTTAGATTTTGCCTTTTCATTTACTGATCTACCTGTTTCTTCTATTGTCTCTTCAATCCCTGAGATTCTCTTTCCAACTCATCAAATTCTATTGCTGGTGATTGTATCTATTTTCCAGATAATCCATTCCTATAATTTCCACACTTTCTGTTTTCTTTATTCTTTTTATTTCTATTTTTAGATCTTGAAGAGTTTACTTAACTTATTAGTCTTTCTATTGTTTTCTGGGAAGTCATTCTTTAAGAGAAGTATTGATTTCATCCATTTGATTGATTGTGGTTTTCTATACTGTTATCCATCTGCTGCAAAGTGGTGTTTCGATAATGTCTACATGAACTACACTTACCTGTGGATAGATATAAGAACTAATATTTATGATAACATTAGGGATAATTCTTGCTTAGCAAAGTATATTTCTAGGTTTTCCTCCAAGATCCATGACTTCTTTAGGCCTAGGTAGGTGGCTAGGTTTTCTCTGTCAGGAATGGTTTCCCACTTATTTACTGCATACCTACAAAGTATGTATGCCACTACTGTGCCTCTAGAGTTATTGTGAAATGCTGGTCACTATTATCATTCATAAGTGTAATACTTATATAGAACTAATAATTGTTTCCATCCTTTGGAAGTTTGCAAGGTACCTTCCAGCAGCAAAAATGCTAATCTGCAAGGAGAAGGCTTTTCCAGCTTAGGGACTTCTGAACACTGTCTGAGTGCATGGTTTCCTCAGCAATAAAGACTTACTTCCACCTCTATTACCAAGGGCAATAGCAATTTCCAATAATGTTTTGTGAGTCTCTTGGATGACTCTCACCAATGACATAATGTAGAGCCTCTCATGTTGTTTTTGAGGTTTTTTTATTAGATGGTCTCTGGATCTTTGTGGTAGCATTGCCAGTTCAGTTATATTATACAAATATAACTACAATTGTATAATTATTCACTAATTTAATTTTATATGTGTATTTTTAGCAGATAGTAAATAGTTTAATTCATTAAGACAAAGGACTAATTTCCAAAAAAAAAATATAAGAATTCAAGGCACCAGTCATCAAAGTACCACCTAATCCAATGAAAAGATAGAATACAGATCTAAGCAGAGAATACTCAACAGAAGAATCTCAAATTGCTGAAAGACATGTAAGCAATTGTTCAACATTCTTAGCCATCAGTGAAATTCAAATAAAAATAACCCTCTGAAATATCATCTTCTACCTGTCAAAATAGCAAAGAATAAAATCATAGACAACAGTTTATGCTTGAGAGGATATAGAGTAATTAGAACACTTCTCCATTCCTGGTGAGTGCACAAACTTGTAAACTATGGAAATCAGTATGTCAGTTTCTCAGAAAATTGGGACTCTTCTACCTCGAGGTCCAGCAGTTCCAGTCATGGGCATATACCCAAAAGAAACACACTCATAACACAAGGACATTTGCTCAACTCTGCTCAAAATGGCATTATTTGTAATAGCCAGAAATTGGAAACAACCTAAATATCACTCATCCAAAGAATGGATAAAGAAAATGTGGGATTATGGCACAATGGAATATTAAGTGGAAGTAAAAATAATGACATCTTGAAATTTGCAGACAAGTAGATGTAACTTAAATAAAATTAAAACATCTTGAGTGAGATAACCCTGACATAGAAAGATATACATGGTATGTACTCACTTATAAGCACTTATTAGAGTAAAGCAAAGGATAACAAAATTGCAATCCACAGCCCCAGAGAGCTAGGTAAAAAGGAGGACACTAAGAGGGACACAAAATGAGGGCCCCAGGAAGGGGAAATAGTTAAGATCTTGTGGGTAAACAAGGCAGGGGTAGAAGGCAGGGGATGGGGGATGGGAACATGAGAGATCAAAATGACCACGGTGAGACCAAGAGAGGGAGGGGAATGAATGAGATATCATGAGCCATTACAGGTTTAGAGAGAAATCTGGTGCTAAGGAAACTCCAAGGGATTCGCAAGGATGACTCCAGCTAAGACTCCTAGTAATAGTGAGAAGGATGCCTGAACTGGCCTTTCCCTATAATCGGATTAGTGACCACCCTAACTCTCATCATAGAATCTACATTAACTATCTAATGGAAGAAGATGCAGTCATCTTCAGCCCAGCAATGGGCTGAGCGCCTGGAGTTCAGAAAACCCACAGAGACAGCTAACCTGTGCTAGTGGTAGTTCACAGAATCTGGACTGACACCTGGGGAACCTGCATGGGACCAAACTAGGTCTTCTGAATTTGGCTTTGGTATCATGGCTTAATGTGTTATGTGGGGAAGGTGTGTCCTATCAGTGTTACCAGATATTACTCCAGGGGCATTAACTGGCATTTGGTACCCATTCCCTATGGTTGGTTATTTTCCCCATCCAGCTTTATGCATTTATAATTGGAGAAGACTAAATGTCTGTTGGACAGATTCTGGCTTCGGTAATTTATTAGGCCCCTGGGTTTCCCTATTATCAGACTGCTTCTGTGTTGATGACCAACCCTGTTATTTCCAGCTGTTTTATCTTGAAGACTTTTCTAGGACGAAAGCATGACAGTCTCAGGAAGTCTGCCTTTACTTTTCTTGTCTAAGCATGTTCCTTTAACCTTATTTCAATACCTTCCCTGGAAAATGTAGTTTCATCCACACATACTTCGCATAGACGTGTTTATGCCCAGTAGAGGACAGTGATAGGCTGATCTGGAGAGGACAGTGCTGTGGTCAAGACCAAGTCATTTAGAATCCACTACTTTCCTCCACACGCATGCATACCATTGGTAGTGATGCCATTGAAGAATATTCCCCAAGAGCTCCTCTGTGGTCTACTTCCTGTTCTTTGATCCGATTCACTACATGAGTCGTGAACTCATAACTCTATTTCATATTTCCTTTTTCATTCTAGTGGAGTCATTGTCAGGAGAAATACATTTCTGTCAACAAAAATATTTAATAATTTCATGGACAGTACATTCTTAGTAAAGCCAAAAGACTCAGAAACTAAATATTTTCAAGTCCAACAATATAGTCCCAGCATATACAATTTTACATGTGGTTCTCTGTTGATAGATTGTTAAAATAGTGTTAGACTAGTTATTCTCTTAGAATTCACGTTGAAGATTTCAGCACCTATGTATTTACTGCTTCATTGGACATAATAGGTGGGCAGCAGATGGTAGCGTATTGTTTTATTGACCATGTATTTACTCTTGCTTGTGTGGTAACAAGTGTGTCTTGATGGAGAAAGGACATTGGTTAATTATAACAAAGAAACTGCCTTGGCCCATTTTATTGGTTAGAACATAGGTGGGTGGAGTAAACAGAAGAGACTGCTGGGAGAAAGAAGCTGAATCAGGGAGTTGCCATGGTTCTCCCACTCCAGACAGATGCAGGTTAAGATCCTCCCTGGTAAGCCACCTTGTGGGCTACACAGAATATTAGAAATGGGTTAGAACAATATGTAAGAGCTAACCAATAAGAGGCTGGAACTAATGGGTCAGGCAGTGTTTGAAAGAATACAGTTTCCATGTAATTATTTCTGGGCATAAGCTAGCCATGCGGGCGGCCGGGTGCCTGGGACGCAGCCCTGCCGCTCCTATCGCTACAGTGTCTGGGTATCTGAGTAGGCCAGAAGCATCTGATCTCTTAGTACTAGAATTACGGGAAGGTATGAGCTGTCTGACATGGTTGATAGGAATGAAATTTCTTCCTCTACAGGAACAAGAAACACACAGCAAGCGCTGCTGAAATCCGCTCTTAACTCCAAAACATTAATAAATTCTTACATAGATATGACCACCATTACAATAACCAATGGTCTAAAAAAAAGAGTGTGCCTCTCAAAGCATTGATTCTTTATGCAAAATAAAATGGTTTACCCACTGCCTTTATTGACATATACAGAATCATATTAACAGATAATTTACTTTCCACAGAGTCAAAATATGGATATGTGACTTCTCAAATTATCTCAGTTTTCAGGGGAGAGGACCTACAAGTCACTCACCTGATGGAAGAACATGGTTGCATTGGGAGTGTTGTTTTTTGAGTTTCTAATATTTTCTTTCCCTTCACTCTCAGGTTTTTCTATCCTGCTACTTGGTGGAGCCCAAGTCCTCTGCATGTGTAGTCTTTTCACTTCCCTATCTCACTCAATCTGAAATAACAGGAGGGCCTGTACATCTCAAAGAAGAGGGGTATTTGCATGGAGCCATCCTGCACTTAGAATCACAGAGCCTGATAAAAGGGACACAGAGCTCTAGTCAGTCCATTGAACTCAGGAAGAAGAATCTGGGTGTCTTCACCATGACTTGGAATCCACTACTCCTCATTGTCCTTCATCATTTAACAGGTCAGTGGACTTAAATAATTCTGAGAGAATAACTGTTACTTGGAATGTTTGGCTTATATTCTTCCTTGTGAATGAGATTTGCTTGTCATTTTTATTATCTTCCTTTTACAGGGACATGTGCCCAGTTTGTGCTAACTCAGCCAAACTCTGTGTCTGGGTCTCTTGGGAGCACAGTCACCATCTCCTGCAAACGCAGCAGTGGTAATTTTGAAAGCAGCTATGTGAACTGGTTCCAGCAGCACATTGGAAGTCCACCCACCAATGTGATCTATCAGCACAATAAAAGACCATCTGGGATTCCTGATAGATTCTCTGGCTCCATTGACAGCTCCTCCAACTCAGCCTCGCTGACCATCACTGATCTGCAGACTGAGGATGAGGGTGACTACTACTGCCAGTCTTATGATGGTGACTATAGACACAGTGATAAGAATCATGGGGAAGTAAGACAAAAACTCTGTAGAGCAACAGTTGTGAAATCACTTGGGAAAAAGACTATTGTTATTTCATGTCTCCTACAAAAGTACTGCTATTGGAATTGCCACATCACAATTTCCTCTAGGTTCAGTGCAAGATTCTACTTTCTCCTCCCTATATGGGTGGCTGAGCTCTTTACAGATATAGGATTGATCCATGGAGTACGAAAGGTTGAAAAGGAATTTTTGAGGGCAATATTATTGACATTTTGTGTCATAGACTTCTTACATGTGTGATGTGTTTAGTATCATCTGTGACCTTGAGTCACTTACATAGTTTGCAAAATTTCACAACGGAAATGCCACACTTGGCCACTGTTTCAAGAGGTTGTTTGTTTAAGTAGACCCTTGTTTTGACTCTTTCTTATTTCATTAGGGCATAAGAATGAATGTAGGCCCATATTTCTATATGGTGTGGCAGCCAGGCTCTAGAGCCATAGGCCCCACCTGAGGTGGTCACGTAGCCCTGCAGACAGGCTGTCACTGCTTTCTTTTGGAGGATGCCTTATAGAGATGCTGATTCAAGCCTATGTGACAGCTAGCATACACAGCAGACGGGTAGATGTGGACTTGAAAAAACGCCATTCACCTGGTTACCTAAGAGACAGGTCTGGTGTATTTTCCCACTCAGTTTATGTGTTGGTATAAAAGCTGTTTGGATAGTAAACACGGGTAGATCTTCAAAAGAAGAGAACTTGAGATGCCCTTCTGTGATGATGGTGTAAGCTGTGTCTGGTTATTCCTTGCGACTCCGTACCAGTCCAGTTAGGGAAAATGGTTATCTATGTTGGGGCCCATGGGCTCTAACATAATGGTACCCAGCAATGTGGTGCTGACCACTGAACCCCGAGATGGAAGCAATGTGGTGCTGACCACTGAACTCCCGTGAAAGGCCAGAAAAAGGACAAGACGAGAGAGACTGTGAATGCTGACCACTGAACCCCAAGAGAAAGGAGAAAGGAGAGAGGAGAGCATGAGACTGATCCCGGCACCCAAAAAAAGCAAGGAAGAAGTGACCAGATGTGAGGAACCCGCGAGAAAAAAATTGGTGGCTATGTGCGTAGTAAGTGCTCAGAAATAGAGATCAGAATTTAAAGAAATGTAGAAAAGCGGGACAAAATTTAAATCGGGATTAAATCCTTTAAATGAATCTATGAAAATACAAAGAGAGCAATTAAAGGAGAAAAACAGTTCAAGATTTGCAACTAGAAAAAGAATCGATTAAAGAAAAACATAGCCTGAGGAAAAACTTCGGATGGAGAACAACAACATCAGATACAAGTCTCACCAACAGAATACAAGAGATGGAATAGAGAACCTCAGTCTTATTGTCATCAGGATAATGGAAATAAACATTTTGGGTAAAGAAATTGTTGAATCTAAAACAAATCCAGGCATAAAACTTACAGAGTGTTTGGAAAATTATGAAAAGAACAAATATACAAATGATGGGATTAGAAAAAGAGAAGAGATCCAGGCTTAAATCACAGAAAATATTTTTAACAAAAGTATAGAACAAAATATCCCTGACCTAAAAACGGAGGTACCTATCATATTACAAGAAGGTTACAGAACAAATAGACTGGGACAGAGAAGATATTCTCCTCAGCACAGAATAATCAGAACATTAAATGCACAAAAAAGAAAGAATATTAAAATCTGCTAAGGAAAGAGATGAAAATATACATATATATAGCAGACCTATTAGAATAACTTTTGAATTTTCAATGTGGAATCTGAAAGTCAGAAAGGACTAGAAAGATGGCATAAAAACTCTAAGGGACCACAGATATAAGTCCACATGATTAAAATCAACAAAATATTCTATCACTTTAGATGGATAAAATAGACATTCTGTGATGAAACCAAATTTAAGCAATTTATTTATCTACAAATAATGCCCTATAAAAGGTGCTAGATTCAACCTGAGGACACCAATAACATCCCCCAAAAATAAGTCAACAGAGAATAAGCAATATCATATCAGAAGATAAAAAATAATATTAAGAAAAAAATTCATACAACAAAAAGAAAATAACAGGAATCAATAAACACTGAACATTGATATTTTTCAATGTCAGTGCTATAAATTCCCCAATAAGAGGACACTGACAAACAAAAGCAATATGAAAATAAGATCCATCCTTTTGTCAAACCAAAGAAACACACATCAACTTCAAGGATAGATATCCTTTCTGGGTAAAGACATTAAAAGTTATTCTAAACTAACATACCTAAGAAGCAAGCCAGTGTAGCAATTTATTATCTGGCAAAATAATTTCAAGTGAAAATTAAAAAGAAGAGATAGGGAAATACACTTCACACTTATCAAAACAAAATTCCACCAAGAGGACATTGCAATTTTTACTACATGCACTACAAGCAAAAGAGTACCTAAGTTCATAAATGATGCACTGTTACATCTTAAATCATATATCAACCCACACACAGTGAAACACCCCTCTTGTCAATACAACACTCTTGTCAATAGACAGGATATCCAGAAAAACTAGATAAAGAATTGTAGAGCTCATTAATGTCATAAACTAAACGGACCTGCTGGATATTACAGAACATTTTACCATAATGCAGTAGTATTTCTCAGGATTTACAGATTTCTTTTTCCAAAATGGACCACATAGTTGAACATAAAACAAACTTCAATAGAGCCAGTAAAACTGAGATAGCACTCTGTATGTTATTTGGCTACCATGGATGAAAGCATGGATATCAACAACATAAAGCTTACAAACTCACTGCTCAATGAAAAATGAGTCCATATAGAAATTAAGAAGGAATATAAAAACGTTCTAAAATTCAGTGAAAATGAAAAATACAACACACCCTAGCTTGTACAACACAGTGAAAGTAGTTCTAAGAGGCAAATTCTAAGCACTCAGTGCCCATGTTACAAAAATGCAGTGTTCTTGTTATTAGCAACTTAATAAGTTAAACTTTAGAACAAAAAGAGGAAATTACACCCCAAAGGAGTAGATGGCAAATAATAATAAATTCAGGACTATAACCAATGAAATCGAAAGAAGCAAACAAAAATAATACAAAGTTTCAATGAAACAAAGATTTGTTTCTTGGAAAAAAAATTAAAAAGATTGACAAACTTTTAGAGGAAATAAGTAAAAGATGGGAAGGAGAGATCCAAATTAACAAAATTACAAATGAAAAGGAGAACATAACAACAAACACTGAGAAAATCCAGGGAATCACAAGGACCAACTTTAAAAATCTGTATTCCTATATATTGAAAATTCTAAAGAAAATGCATAATTTTCTTGATACAGGCCACCTACCAATGTTGTATCAAGATCAGATAAACAATTCAAACTGACCTGCAACCTCTTCTTAAGTAGAAGATGCAATTGAAAGTATACCAACAACAACAACAACAAAAAAATCCCAGAGCTTTTATTACAGAATTCTACAAAACTTTCAAAGAAGAATTAATGCCAATGCTCAAAAAATTATTCTACAATATAGAAACAGAAGGAACATGACACAATTCAGTTTCCAAGCCCAATTACCTTGATCAAACCATATAAAAATCCATGAAATAAAGAGAATAGATAATTTCCCTTATGAACAAAAATAAAAAGCATTCTTAATGAAATAAATTATCATTGCATAAAATAAGATAAAATGCAAACCAAATCTAATAACGCATCAGAAATTTCATTCACTATGATCACAAATGCATCATTTAAATGATACCCGGATGGTTCAGCATTTATAAGTTGGTAAGTGTAATCCACAATATAAAAAAATTGAAAGACTAAAACCACATCACTATTTCATTAAATGCACAAAAAACCTTTGACAAAAAAAAAAAAAAAAGAACACTCTTTCCTGGAAAAATCCAGGAAAGTCTAAGAACATACCTCAGCATAACAAGACAGTATACAGCAATACCATAGCCAGCCTCAATTCAATTAGATGGTAACTCAAAGTATTTTTATTAAAATCAGTCATAAGACAAGGTTGGCCACTCTCTTTATGCCTGTCCAATAAAGTGCTAGAAGTCTTAGCAAGAGCAAGAGGATAATGGAGGGAGTTCAAGGGTTACAAATAGAAAGGACAGTATAAAATTATAATTATTTGCAAGTCTTATGAGAGTACACATAACTTTCTCTAAAATTCCATCAGAAAGCTCCTACAACTGGTACACACTTTTGGACTGTAACATAAGCAACTTAACAAAATTAGCAAAAATCAGTAGCTCTCCTATATAGAAATGGCAAATGGACTGAGAAAGAAATCAGGGAAACCACACCTTTCACAATAGACTTGAATAATTTAAAATGACATGGGGTAATTCTAACTGAGCAACTGAAGGATTTATATGGAAAAAAATTAAGAAATTTAAGAAAGAATTTAAAGAATATATCAGAAGATGGCTCTATCTCCCATGTTCATGAATTGCTAATATTAACATAGTTATATTAACATAGAAAATGGTTATTCTATCAAGGAAATATTACATATTCAATACAACCTCCATCAAAATTCTAGCACAATTCACAGAACTTGAAGGGTACAGACATAAACAGTGAATTTTCAAAAGTGAAAATTAAAAGCTCGAGTTTTCTAGGAAACACTTAAGTGTTTAACATTCATAATATTCATGGAAATGCAAATCAAAACTACTTTGAGATTTCATCATCCATATGTCAGATGGTTGAAATCAATGAAACAAATAATGGCTCATGCTGGTGAGGAACTGGGGGAGAACATCTATTCACTGCTTGTAGGCACGCTAACTTCTATGACCATTATGGAAATTTGTGTGGCAGTTCCTCATAAAAATGGTCATCAATCTATCTCAAGAGCTGCCTAAACAATTTTTGGTCATAAACTTAGAAATTAACACTATATCTTACAACAGAGACACTTGTACAACCATATTCACTGATGCTCTATTATTTCTTTTAGAGGCAGATTTTATCTGTAGCTTTTATAGCCTGTCCTAGAACTAGCTCCTCTAGACCAGGCTGGCCTCAAACTCATAGAGATCCCTCTGCCTCTGCCTCCTGAGTGATGGGATTAAAGGTGTGCACCATCATCACCTGGCGATGCTTTATTGTTAATAGATATAATTCATAAACAATTTAGCAAGCAGTCAACAGAAGAAAAAAGAAAATATAATACCTTTATACAATGGAATATGCCTTTAAAAATTTGTTGAAATTCTCAGGTAAATGGATGAACTGGAAAAAAATCATGCTGGGAAGGGTAATTTAGACCCAGTAAGATAAATTTGTGATATAATTACCTATATGTGGGTGGGTCATGGGTGTTAATTCATTGATAAGTAAGCTACAATACATAAAACCAGATATTAAGTATACAGTAAGGAACATGAGGAGAAGGAAGGATCTTCCTAGGAAGGGAAAGTCACAGATGGATGTAAGTGATGGGGGTTAGATTGAAACAATTAAGCAAGAGGAATGGAGAGGGAAGAATACGCAGAGAAAGTCCCATTGGAACCTCCAAACAACCTAAATTATTGCCAAAGCAATTGGTGACACCTCAAAAACTGACAGTAAAGCTGGGCGATGGTGGCGCACGCCTTTAATCCCAGCACTCGGGAGGCAGAGGCAGGCGGATCTCTGTGAGTTCGAGACCAGCCTGGTCTACAGAGCTAGTGCCAGGACAGGCTCCAAAGCCAAAGAGAAACCCTGTCTCAAAAAAACCAAAAAAAAAAAAAACTGACAGTAAGGCCCTCTTGTTGAAGATGGACACTGTACAACTCATTGAGCAGGGAAAGGTAGAGCTGGTATCTGCCTAGAGCCTTCACCTTGTGGACTGGTGTTCATGTTATGGAGCACATGTAGTGTGGATACTGCTCCATTCTAAACTCTCATGATTTCAAAACTAAAGTAGAGATATTTTCAATTATCAATAATTCACACAAGTTCATAGAGATTGAGTTAGAGCCTATTTCAGAAAGGAGTCATGTAGGCTCCAGCCCATTAAATTAATATACAAACGACCAATGGTATGCCATTGGAAGCCCCGAAGCAAACATTAGTTTGCCTGATTTGGGGAACCACACAGTTACCAAGACAGAAATAGTCTCTTGTAGAAACTCCAGAGAGGCCGTTAGAATCACACACTTTCTAACCCAGTGGGGGAAGATCAAGGGCACAAATGCAATCATTATAGCTCAGTGTTCATTGTTCGAGATTCACTCATGCTCTTATGGGCTCCACAGTGCTTGGGCATCTCCATTTCTCTGACTCCACTCTTCAAACCATGCATTGTTTATCTCAGGTTCAGTTTGACTTCAGAGCCTGAAAGCTCAGTGTCTTCTTTTTCTCCTCCTCCATAGTAGTGAGTGGTTTCTGCTGCATCTAATGCACCCCTGTCTACCTGTCCTGAAAGCACTTCCTTTGTGGAAACATTTGGAGAAAGTGGTTACAGAAACGAGAAATTTGCAGGGTAAAGAAAAATATCCTGTATTCCTTTTAGTAAGGCTTACTAGTCTGAGAGATCCCAAATGGATAAGGACTCATTGTAGTGGAGATTTTTGCTGAGTACTTGTCCCATCTGTAGACAAAAGAAGATACACTGGAACATCTCCAAATCATCTTTGTCTCCCTCTGTTTTTTATCAGAGCATCCTCTGATCATTTTACACACATAGGGGTGAGTAATTGTATCCTCTTTCCCATTAAAAAGTAGTGGGATATTCTTTTCAATTACTCTTACTGAAGAGAGAGGTGACCCTTCAACATGCCATGGCCTTAATGAATTCCAAATAGTATCATGTCTGTGCAAAATCTAATGTTCCAAACACTCTCAGAAGTCAATGTATCCCACAGCATATTAAAAAAAAAAAAATAAGCCTGGAAGTGGTGGTGCATGGCTTTAATCCCAGCACTTGGGAGTCAGAAGCAGTTTGATCTCTGTGAGTTCAAGGCTAACATGGTTTACAAGAGTTAGTTCCAGGTCAGGCTGAAAAGCTACAGAGAAACCCTGTCTCGAAAAACAAACAAACAAAAAATAATCAAAAATAAATAAATAAAAGCAGAAATGCTTAGTGCTTAATCAGGTAGAAAACGAATCAGCTCCTTGTGGGTTCTATTTACCATGTCTGTTGGCTGAAGAGTTGAAATGTGGCAGCACAGCCTTTGCCATTTTTCAATGTTGAAATCACCTTCCAGTCTGCTCAATCAGAGCTCAAGTCCCTACTCTCCACACTTTCAGTGGAAGTGGGAGATAACTGAATTTCTTATCATGCAGTTGTGATACAGAACCAACTCCTACCTACATAGTGGAACCCTTCTGTTATGCGTTCCTTGCTTAATATTGTTTATTGCTTATAATTTTATATTTAGTATCTGTTCCTATTGTATATAGTTGTATTGGGTTTGGATCAATCTTGTTTAAACAAAAGGGGAAGATGATGGAGAAGCTCAACCAATCACATCTGGTTAGGGTGTGGCCGCCTGGAGCCCAGGAGGAAAACTGGGAGATGTAGGTGCATGCTCTCTCTATTTTGTCACCGAACCTCCCACTCTGATAGCGTGAGTTCCCCATTTTTCAATGATTAAAAATATAACTGTGGTTTTTGAGCTGGTCTGGTTATTTATCATACCGACCGAATACTACAACACAGTTGTGAATGACTAACATTTAGTGTAAAAGGGCTTTGAAGTAGCAGATGGGCAATGGCTATTTACATGTCCTTTTCTGAGATTTTCAGTCATGCGAGGGCCCTTGAGAAGAGGTCATTTCCAATCGTAGATGAGAGAACCCAAGGCATGTAACTGGTGTGCTGGTAGTTGCTTAGGGAATTGCCAAGGTCTTCCTCTGGTATTGTCAAAGGAATGAATGACTGGGAAAAAACAGACAAAGCTGTGGAGAAGGAGACAGTGGCAACTTCATGCATTCAGGATTGGAGAAGACTAAAGGTGTGTTAAACAGATTCTGGCTTGGACATTTTACAGGGACCTTGAATGTCTATTTTTCCAGACTGTTTATATGTTGATGCCCAACCCTGGGACTTCCAGCTGTTTCTCTTTGAAGATTTTTCTAGGAAGAAGAAGAAATGACAGTCTCAGTAAGCCTGCCTATGAATTTTCCTTTAACCTTACTTCAGTTTCTTTTCTGGAAGATGTAGTTCCATCCCCACTTAGCTCTCATGGACGTGTTCATCCCCATTAGAGGACAGTGATGGGCTGATCTTGAGAGGACAGTGCTTTTGGCAAGACCAAGTCATTCAGAAGTGACGTCTTCCCTCCCCACACTTGTACAGGTAGTGGTGCCTTTGAGCAGTATTCCCCAAGAACTACTCTGTAATCTACTTCCTGTTCTTTGATTCCACTGATTTCATGCACAGTAAATTAATAACTCTATTTCATATTTCCTCTTTATCCTGATGGAATCATTGTCCAGGAAAAATATTTCCACCAACAAAATAATGTAATGAATTCATGGATAGTACGTACTTAGTAAAAAACAAAAAGACTCAGAAACTAAACATTTTTAAAGTTTGACAACTTATTCTCAGCCTACACAATTTGATATGTTGTTCTCTGTTGCTAGATTCTTAAAACACTGTAAAGTCTCAATTGGTAGACAAGGGATTCTCTTAGAATTCACGTTGAAGAAATCAGCTGCTATATTTTCCCTGTTTCTTCATACCTAATATGTGGACAGCAGATGGTAGTCAATCTATATATTGACCGTGTTTGCACTCATGCTTATATGGTAACAAGTGTGTCTTGGTACCTGAGAAGGCCCGAAGAGGGCATCTGATCCATTAATGCTGGAATTATCGGAGGTTGTGAGCTGTCTGACATGGTTGCTAGGAATGAAAATCACTTTCTCTACAGTAACAACAAGCACACTTAACGCAAGCACTGCTGAAATCCACTCTTAACTCCAATATATTAATAATTTCTTACATAGAAATGACCACCATTACACTCACCAGTGTTCTAGAGTAAAATAAAAAGGTGTGCCTCTCAAACCAGCCATTGATTCTCTATGCAAAACAAAGTGGGTTACCCACTGTCTCAATTGCCATGTACAGTATTATATTAACGGATAATGCATGTTCCACTCAGAGTCCAGACAGGGATCCAGACTTCGAAATGGTCTCACTGTTGATGTGGTGTGTGTGTGTGGGGGGGGACTTAGCAGTCACTCATCAGATAGAAGAACATGGTTGCATTGGTGAGAGTTGTTTTTCTAGTTTCTCATGTTTTTTTCTTCACTTTCAGGTTTTTCTATCCTGCCACTTGGTGGAGCCCAAGTCCTCTGCATGTGTAGTCTTTCCACTTCATCACACCCAAACTGAAGTAAAAGGAGGGGATTTTACATCCCATGGAAGAGGGATATTTGCATGGAAACAGCCTGCACTTAGAATCACAGAGCCAGATAAAAGGGGTAGCCAGCTTCAGTCAATCCATTGAACTTAGGAAGAAGATTCTGGGTGTCTTCACGATGACTTGGACTCCACTACTCCTCATTTTCCTTCATCATTTAACAGGCGAGTGGACTTCAATAATTCTGGGAGAGTAACTGTTGCTTGGAATGTTTGGCTTATATTTTTCGTTGTGAATGAGATTTCCTTGCCTTTACCGATTTTTATTATCTTCCTTTTACAGGGTCATGTGCCCAATTTGTGCTAACTCAGCCAAGCTCTATGTCTGGGTCTCTTGGGAGCACAGTCACCATCTCCTGCAAGCGCAGCAGTGGTAACATTGGAGGCAGCTATGTGCACTGGTACCAGCAGCACATTGGAAGTCCTCCCACCAATGTGATCTATGACTACAATAAAAGACCATCTGGGATTCCTGATCGGTTCTCTGGCTCCAGTGACAGCTCCTCCAACTCAGCTTCGCTGACCATCACTGATCTGCAGATTGAAGATGAGGCAGACTACTATTGCCAGTCTTATTATTATGGCTCTAGTCACAGTGATGAGAATCATGGGGAAGTAAGACAAAAACTCTGTAGAGCACCACCTATGAAGTCACTTGTGAAAAAGACTATTGTTATTTTATGCCTCCTACAAAAGTATTGGGATTGCCAAATCATAATTTTCTCTTGGTTCAGTGTAAGATTCTACTTTCTCCTCCCTCATATAGGTGGCTGAGCTCTTTACACATTTAGGGTTGATCCATGGAATAGAAATGGTTGAAAACAGAAGTTCTTGAGGGCAATACTACTGACATTTTGTGTCAGAGTCTTCCTTACCTGTTCGAAGTGTTTAGCACCATCTGTGACCATGAGTCACTTCCATATTTTCATGTTTTCCCTCCATTAAGAGATCACTAACTCTCTGTAATGTCAAATTTCACATGGGAAATGCCACATTTGGGTGAAGCCACTGCTTCAGGAGGCTGTTCACCCACCAGAAATGAAGGAGTGATCTCCTTACTCCACATCCTCGATTGCTGGTGGGTATACAAACTTGTAAAATATGGAAATCAGCATGTCATTTTCTCAGAAAATTGGGAATCAATCTACCTTGAGGTCTAGCAGTACCACTCAAAGGCATAAACCCAAAGGAAGCACACTCATAACACAAGGACATTTGTTCAACTATGTTCATAGTAGCATTATTTGTAATAACCAGAACCTGGAAACAACGTAAATGTCCTTCAACCAAAGAATGGACGAAGAAAATGTGGCACACTGGCACAATGGAATATTAACCAGCAGAAAAAAAAAATGACATCTTGAAATTTGCAGGCAAATGAATGGAACTAGAAAAAAAATCCTGAATGAGGTAGCCCCGACCTAGAAAGGCATACATAGTATGTTGTCACTCATAAGCCGATATTAGAAGTAAAACAAAGGATAACCAAACTGCAATCCACAGCCCCAAAGAAGCTAGGTAAAAAGGAGGACACTAAGAGCGACACACACACAAAAAAAGGATGCCAGGGTGAGTGAGTTTCTGACCACGGCAGCAGCCCGGGACAGGGAACTCTGACACCCCTCCTTCACTTCCTGGTCATCCTCAGGGGCTACTCTGCCCGATACCTCCTCTCTCTTCCTATCCCACCCAGCTTGCATCCACAACCCTCCCTCCCTCCGTCTGACTCCCTTCCCTCTTTGACCATATAACATCTCCCAGCCCAGCCTGTTCGGGCTCTAGGACCGAATCTGAATCTGCAGGGCAAACGGGAGGGTGGTAGCTCCTTTGTCCCCGCTAGCCTGCCTGCAGCGAGCTAGGTAGGTCCTTTGATTACAAGTCACCCAAGCAGCAAGGAGACCTGAACCCGGCACCAGGAGAGACATCAGGCTTGCATCCACAACCCACCCAGAGCAGTCCTGAGGAGTTCCATCTGGACGGCAGTCCATGTTTGGGTGCTGAGGAGTTCCAGCTCAACGGGACGGTCCCTGCTTCTACACTGAAAAGATACACCCAGAGACTCATTCACAGCAAAGTCTGGACCAAGACACCAGGCCTCTCCTGGCTCCATTTGAAGGAGGAGATGGGAAGGCGCCAATGCAAGACTTCCTCCAACAACCTGAAAGGCAACATGACTTCACCAGAATCAAGGGATCCCGAAATAAGAAGAATTGTACACCCTACTCCAGAAGAATTAGAAGAAATCGACTCAAAAGTGAATTATATGAAAATAATAGAAGACCTTAAGCAGGAGGTGAAAAACTGCCATAAACAATTAGAGATTACAAACAAAAAGGTAGAGGAAATGAATAAATCGCTTAAAGATACCCAAGAAAATCAAGAGAAACATGAAAAAGCAATCAGACAGGTACGGGAAGCAGTTCAAGACTTGAAGAATGAAATGGAAGTAATGAAGAAAACACAAACCGAGGGAAGATTGGAGATGGAAAATCTGGGTAAACGAACAGGAACTACAGAGACAAGTACTACCAACAGAATACAAGAGATAGAAGAAAGAATATCAGATACTGAAGATACCATAGAGAAAATAAACACACTGATCAAAGAAAACAGCAAAACCAACAAATTCTCATCACAAAACATTCAGGAAATATGGGACACAATAAAAAGACCAAACCTAAGAATAATTGGAGTAGAAGAAGGAGAAGAGGTGCAACTCAACGGCCCAGAAAATATATTTAATAAAATTATAGAAGAAAACTTTCCCAACCTAAAGAAAGATGTACCTATGAAGGTTCAAGAAGCATACAGAACACCGAATAGGCTGGAAAAAAAAAAAAAAAAAAAACATCCCCTCGCCATATAATAATCAAAACACAAAACATACAGAATAAAGAAAGAATATTAAGAGCCGCAAAGGAAAAAGGCCAAGTTACTTACAAAGGTAAACCTATCAGACTTACACCTGACTTCTCTATGGAAACCATGAAAGCCAGAAGGTCCTGGATAGATGTACTGCAAAAACTAAGAGACCATGGATGCAAGCCCAGACTACTATACCCAGCCAAGCTTTCATTCACCATAAATGGAGAAAACAAAATTTTCCAGGATAAAAACAAATTTAAACAATACGTAGCCACAAACCCAGCCTTACAGAAAGTAATAGAAGGAAAATCTCTAACCAAGGAGTCCAACAATGACCACAATAACTCAGACATCTAGAGACCCGTCACCAGCGCAACTCAAAGAAGGGACGCACACGAACTCTACTACTAAAGAAGTGACCGGAGTTAACATCCCCTGGTCATTAATATCACTTAATGTCAATGGGCTCAACTCACCTATAAAAAGGCACAGGCTAAGAGATTGGATACGAAATCAGGATCCAACATTCTGCTGTTTACAAGAAACACACCTCAAACACAGAGACAGGCACCTACTCAGAGTAAAGGGCTGGGAAAAGGCTTATCAAGCAAATGGACCTAAGAAACAAGCAGGTGTGGCCATACTAATTTCTAACAAACTTGACTTCAAACTTAAATCAATCAGAAGAGATGGAGAGGGACATTTTATACTCATAACAGGATCAATTCATCAAGAGGAAGTCTCAATCCTGAATATCTACGCCCCTAATATAAAAGCACCCACATACGTAAAAGAAACATTACTAAAACTCAAGGCAGCCATCAAACCGCACACACTAATAGTGGGAGACTTCAACACTCCTCTCTCACCAATGGACAGGTCAATCAGACAGAAACCTAACAGAGAACTAAGAGAATTAATGGAGGTAATGAATCAATTGGACTTGACAGACATCTATAGAATATTCCACCCAAATCGGAAAGAATATACCTTCTTCTCTGCAGCTCATGGAACCTTCTCGAAAATTGACCACATACTCGGTAACAAAGCAAACTTCCACAGGTACAAAAACATATTAGTAACCACCTGTATCTTATCAGATCACCATGGATTAAAGTTAGAATTCAACAACAACCCTACCCCCAGAAAGCCTACAAACTCATGGAAACTGAACAGTCAACTACTGAACCACACCTGGATCAAGGAAGAAATAAAGAAAGAAATTAAAGTCTTCCTTGAATTCAATGAAAATAAAGAAACAACCTACTCAAACTTATGGGACACTATGAAAGCAGTCCTGAGAGGAAAGTTCATAGCACTAAGTGCCCACTTAAAGAAAACAGAGAAGGCACACATTGGAGACTTAACAGCCCACCTGAAAGCTCTAGAAAAAAAAGAAGCAGACTCACCTAGGAGGAGTAGAAGACTGGAAATAATCAAACTGAGGGCTGAAATCAACAAAATAGAAACACAGAAAACAATCCAAAGAATCAATGAAACAAAAAGCTGGTTCCTGGAGAAAATCAACAAGATTGATAAACCTCTATCCAAACTAATAAAACGCCAGAGAGTGAATATGCAAATTAATAAGATCAGAAATGAAAAGGGGGACATAACCACAGACACAGAGGAAATTCAAAGAATCATTAGATCTTACTACAAAGGCCTGTATGGCACAAAACTGGAAAATGTAAAAGAAATGGACACGTTTTTAGATAAATACCATATACCAAAGTTAAACCAGGACCAGGTGAACAACCTAAATAGACCTGTTAGTCACGAAGAACTAGAAGCTGTTATCAAAAACCTCCCTACCAAAAAAAGCCCAGGACCTGATGGTTTCAATGCGAAATTCTACCAGAACTTCCAAGAAGACCTAATACCTATACTCCTTAATGTATTTCACAATATAGAAGCAGAAGAGTCATTGCCAAATTCCTTTTATGAAGCTACAGTCACTCTGATACCAAAACCACACAAAGACTCAACCAAGAAAGAGAATTACAGGCCAATCTCACTCATGAACATCGACGCAAAAATCCTCAACAAAATACTGGCAAACCGAATCCAAGAACACATTAGAAAAATTATCCATTATGATCAAGTAGGCTTCATCCCAGAGATGCAGGGCTGGTTCAACATACGAAAATCTATCAATGTAATCCATCATATAAATAAGCTGAAAGAAAAAAACCATATGATCATTTCATTAGATGCTGAAAA